AGCTCTTAAGTTGCTCTGAAAGACGGATCGACTTTGTCATTTTACTAATCTGCACCTCCCTTTGTTTTTAGGGCGGGCGTTTTAAAGGACATTGAACAAAAGCAGAGGAACACAAGTCGCGTTTGCTTTGCTTCTCGGGTTTTATTTATCACACCGTGTTGTTGTTTGGTCCCAAACTTACAAAGCGGAATAAAGGATTCAGCTTCCCTCTTATTTTTTGATCTCGACTCAAAGTGACGTGAGTGATGTCCTTTCTGGACTCCAGGGAGAGTTCCTTTTCAGCTCCCTCTGTAATTTAAGATCCATCCTCTTTCCTGTATTGATCCCGGTGCCACGTTGAGATGAAGCGGGCGAGTGATGGTGTGTATCGGTTGATGCAACATTTGAGATGACACTGAGTGACAAACGGGGCTGATGCCATGTTCAGATGGGTGAAGGCTTGTCAAAGTCAAAGGGTTGTTCTACTTACAACATAATCCATTTCAGTTGGTAAACCTCTTAAAAGGTTTCCATTTTTCCTGCTTTCACTTTAAGACTTGTACTATATGGTGAACAAGTAGTTCTGTGTATCTCCATTATTTTGATTTAGCAAATTTGAATAACAAGTATAATTTCAAAAATCTTGTGTGCTGTTGCTACAATAGTACTTTTTGTTTTACACCAAAACAAATGGTAGAAATGCATATTTCATGCTTCACACTGCAAATGTTAAAATATTTAAGAGGTCTTGTTATTGCCATCCTAATGCAGAAAGTCATAAATGCTTAGAAAAGCTGTTTCTACAGAAGCAACACAGAATGCCTGATTAGAGAGCCAAAGACCTTCGAGGTCCATTCACACCAGCCCTGTTTAGTCTGCTTTAATTGAATTCTACTTTGTTTGCCTGGAAGGTCTGGCATGTTTGGGGAGGTGTGAATGCAAAATCCAACTCTAACATGGAGCAAACGAGCAAATTTTGGTCCGCATAAAAACCGAGGTTTCGATTTGGTTGAAGAGAGTGGTGCAGTTCAAATGCAAATGCCAAGGAAACATGGGGACTGGTGCAAAAGCCGGAAGTAGACCAAAGCACTGAGCATTCTGGGTAAATGCAACTAAAACAAATGCTAGTCTAATGCTAGCAGGAGAAATGGCTTGTAGTCTTTTTACCAAAGGGAAATGCTACTGCTGAAATCTGACACTACTTGATTCTTGCTTAAATTTCAAGAACGTTGCATTCATGTGGTTTTCAGAGGTTTTTGCATCATTTCCTTCAACGATGCACAATCTCCTTTGGGAGGTCTTGGTTCTGTACCAACGCAGGTGAGGGGTGGAACAGGTTTTTTCCAACTGGTTTGCATCGTTTGACACAATGCAGTGTGAAAGCGAACTGCACCCGCTGACAAGATCACAAATGTTGCGATTTTGGTCCGCAACCGAACAGTCTAATGGACCGCCAGGCGCTAAAGCTCCCTTAACTTCAATTAAACTCGAAGTGCTTGATGATGACCACTGAATGTGGAGGGAGAAGTTTGAATGGGGGTTGGAGGACAAATGGTAACCATTTGGTCCCGTCTTTATGGAGCCTTCGATAAGTTTTCACTGAGGGATTCCTAAACTAACTACAAACGGCAATAGAAGCGGTTTATTCACTGTGACACTAAAGTTTACTCTTTTTATACGTAAACATATTTCCAACACACTCGGGCCTGTATGTTAAGACAAATTGGCATAGGACTGTGCGTCTTCCTAATAACATTCATTTTTAAAACGCAATACGCAAAAGGTCTTTTCCTTTCTTCTGAACTGTCATAAACAATGGCTGCTACAATCATGAGTTCAGTCATTAACATACATTTTGCATGTACTGAAAGTTTATAACAAGACAAAGACTTGAAAGAGATTTACATTATGTATAATTCATGACTGTCTTCATAATGAATTCCAAATGGTTAATGATTAAAATTCACAAAAGGTCCCCACGCTGTAAATGGCAACAGATTAAAAAAACCCCTAAAAGTAGAAGATGAATAAAGAAAAAAAAAACATTCTCTATTTAAGGGTCAGGGACAAATTGTCAGCATTATAGATAAAAAAAAAAAAAAAAAAAAAAGCTTCAAGTGACTTAGTGAGAATTGCATCTTCATGACTGAGTGGGTTTTATTTTGAAAGGGCTCATTGGGGGGGTGAGGAGTTTCAGTTTTAACTAGGACCTTTTTTATTTTACTTTACATCTGCTTCATTTAGGACAGATTAACCAAACGCTAAGCAGTAACTGGTAATGAAATCCCAGTTAAATTAATGTGTACATGTTTTTTTTAAGTAGATGTTTTGTTTTTTTTTAATCCACTGGAAAGAAATGTTTACACTACTTATAAGCTCTGTTGAAAACTGCACCTGTTACCTGCTTCTGTTTGTGGGTCTCGCAAAAAACGTTTCACATGACTCTCATTTACAGCTTTGTTCCTAAATGTCAGAATTCATACATGCCTAAAACTCAGTTTAATCACTGGTTCTGAGGCATGTTTTTTATATAAAGAAAAGTGGCGGCTCTGGTATGATTGGGCATAAGTTAAAGATTTTGTACAAATTTGTTAAGTTATGACAGTCGGCCTTGTTCTACAACTAGAAAAGCTTTAATGAAAACCACAGATTTATCTAGACGGCATAAATAAAGACCCTGACCTTTGTAATCACTAGAAAATTTGCCATTTTTTAAAAAGCTCTTATGATTTTTTTTATCAACCTTTTTCTATTCATTATGTAGTGTTCTGCTTAACGAATCGCAACTCCTGTTGCAAATCCAACCATGCAGCTCTGCACAGGCGAAGTCCTGCTGTCCTTCCCCCTCAGCTACGCCGGTTTCCACCACAGCATCGATCATTCCTTTTGGTTGACTGCTGGAAAAACGCTCGCCCGAGGCAGATGCAACTGGCATCTTTCTGCCCACAACAGGTCTTCAGGAGGCAATGAACCAGGGCAATAAAATCAACCACTGGGGTTTCCGCTTGTTTCTAAATGGCCTTTTACTGTCACATCTGTGGAGCTGTGGCTCCCAGGAGAAAGGAAGCCCCGTCTTTCACTTGGCTGAAATACAAACACTGCCCTGTTAAAATGCCTTGTTTAGAAATGGTTTCATTTTTCTATAGATGACTCTGGTACTGCAATAATCTCTTGTGTTTTGTTTTAATTAGTGCAGAGTACACTTTGGTGCTCCAGGCTTGTCGGGTTAATACAAATTTACTTATTTAAAGGGAAATGCAAAACGATTCACACCTTGAACCCTTTGACCTCTTGCATGTTTTGTCATATTGCATACACCGGGGTCTTTTACTGGAATTTTATGTGACCAGAAATGTCCCCTCTAATTTTTTATGCGTCTGGACATAAAAAATCACTGAGGACCGCTGTGGGCAATGTCAGATGTGCGCGCTGTGGCCACACACCAGTACAACACCGGTCATAAATCTGGGATCATAGCAAGTTGCATGGCTTATTAAAAGAATCAGATTACATCAACAATTTCCATTGGTTTGCTTTTAATATGAGAAATTTCCCCCACTTGAAATGAAAAAAACAAAAACATTGCCGTTTATGAGATGCGTAGTGTGTTGTAAGAGTCCCGTTTTAACCACGGTGAGAAATGAGACATTACACCTTCAGACATAACTTTTTGTTCACATTAAAACGTTCACATTTTGCACAATGAAATGTGTGCTGTAGGTTGTGATGCAGTGTAAATTCTTGTAAAATATTTAATTGCACTTTTTTTTTTTCCATGTCTGTCCGTCTCACTTCTCCAATGGTTGTTCGCTTTGGTCCTGGTTGATGGCTCCGTCTGCTTCTTGCTTTGATTTTATGTGCATCAGCCGAGTCCAAATGTGCCACTTCAAGACGATTTCTGGATGCTGTTTCGATATGATTCGTTATACTAAATCCTCTTTAACAATCGACACTGGATGTTTGAAATGTAGCGCAAATATCCACAAGCTGCGAGATCTCCTCTATGTCCTCACATCTGAGGATGTGCTGATTGACCCCTGTTTAAGTTTCTGCTTATGTGCTTGAATTCAGCATATTGACTGTTTATGGCCTCCCATCGACTGTGGGAGGGGGGAATTGGCCTCATGCTTCTTTGCCAGTGTAGAAATGTCTGCTGATCCACAGTCAAAACTGATGTCTGAGCTCAGTGCTGCAATGTCAAATACAGACCACTCCTTTAATTCATCCTCTGGAAAAAGAGCATCCACGTGATCGCAGAGCTTACTAATAAAAAGACTAATCTCACCAGTATTTCTCAGGTTCCCATTGCCTCCTTGACACGGTCACTCCACTGTACTGCTCAAACTCCGACAGCCATTCCATCTTAAACGAAGCGCATTTCTTTTCTACTTTGGCTTAGTGACTTGTTGTCCCACTGCCCCTTCGCTTCTCGATGAGGTGTTTAGGAAAAGTCTTTTTCGTTTTTCGAGTGAGCAATACACTAAATCAATCAGAGAAATACACATTTGTCTTTAGATATTTTATTTAGAAAATCAGAGTAAATATCAGCATCTGAGAAAAGAGCAAGGGAGAAGAAGAAGAAATGAAACTTAATGCATACATTTCTCCTTTTACATCTTATCAGTCACATACACGGTGCCTTCCATCCATGTCTCTCCTGTAGGGAGTTTCTCCAAGTTTCTCCCGTCTCTGGTTAATTGGTACCTCTGTCCCTAAATCAAACCTGATTCAAAGGAGTTGGGAAAAGGAAGAACAACATCTTCACTGAAACCGTCATCATCAGTTCATTCTTCCCAGTAAATAAGCGAAAGTTTTATTTTCCAAGACGGGCGTTAGGTTTTGCGTCTCTTTTAGTACCCTGCACTATTTTTGCCTAGCTAACCTGCACGGTGCCACAGCGCGTATGGCCAAGGCACATACACACAACAGCATGCGATGATTGGCTAAGTGAACCGTAGCGTATCGTTGGCTGGACACCTGTCAGCCAGAGTTGGATCTCAAAATGTTTTATTCTGACCGTCATGAAGGTAAATGAGTCCACTTTGTCTCATATGAGCAGACATGTTTGCCGTTTAGTCGACCTGACTTGAACCGCTCAACAAATATGCATTTTTCCAATGTCTTTCTTCCTGAAAAGCCAGATTTGTTTGAGGACCATCAGTTGCCCCCACCTGAGTGGTGGATCTTTTCAGCTGCTCCAGAGTCAAATTGTCGATTATTGCCCTCCATGACCGGCCAGCTTATGCAGACAACCACATCTTAGCAGTAGGCTCACAGTTGCACCACACTTTATGATGTTTTCTAACTGAACCCTGCTTTAAACTTTTCCCCAACCTTATCCCTAAATTGCCTGCTATATTTCTTGTTCTTCTGGTTGTCCGTTAATCTTCTCAACAGACTCCATTAACTAATCCGAAGGTGGCGTGTTCCACCTGACCTTAGGGTATTAGCATAAAAAGGGGGCTGAATGCAGATGCATGCCACCTGCTTCAGATTTTTATTTGTAAAAGTTTCTGGTTGTAATTTAAAAGAATTGGAAAAAGTTTAAAATATGTTGCACTTTTGCAGGAAACTTTATATTGGAGCATTTTATTTTAGGTGAATGACATCCACCTCAAAGTACAGTATATTACCTGGCCAAAAAAAAAAAAAAGTTCAGGTTAGGCCTCTGAAATCAAGCTGAAGGCAGGATGATGCTGCTGCTCTGGGCTCTGGAAGCACTTTGGTAGCTTATTTCACCCTTCTTGGATTCAGAGATAAAGATGGATTGAGAATGCTTAGAGGATTAGCCGAACCAGAAAAGGTTTGTGAGGGGCGACTGGCTGATGAAAGGAAGCAAAAAAAAAAAAAATGACTGTAGTTACCTGGGTGCAGTCCCAGAAGTCTGAAAGAGCTTTTGAAGTGATGGGAACATCTTCAGAATGAGTGAGTTTTTTTTATTTTTGTCCTCCCTCTCATTTCCCTAAACCACCAAAAGCACCTCATCCTTTTTAACCGTCCAGATTGCGGCAGATGTCACGGCCGGACAGCAGAAGGAGGGGGGGGGAGGGGGAGAGGGGATGTCCAGTCACACCGTCAGTTCCCAAAACGACAAAAAAAAAAAAAAAAAAAAAAGAAAATTTGTAAAAGTGCATGTGGGGTCAGTACGACCCCACCGGGCCATCCAGAGTAAAAATAACCAAGTCGCTTAAGATTGCAGGAGAGTTAATGGTTTTAAATCTTTTCAAAGGCATAAAGTCGACTTGAACTCATGACAGCATTGATTTTTGTTGTTACAGGAAGGTGGAAATTAAAGCATTGTTTTTTGTGGAAACTTGTACTGCTTTATAATGAGGCTTTTTGAATCTTCAAAGCGCCCATCTACAAACACTTGGTATTTCATTTTTAGTTCTGTTGCCAACAACATAATTTAAAAAAAAAAAGAACCTGGATTGAGAAGTTGAACTTTGAAGTTGTTTTTCCACTTTTTTCATAAAAAGTGAACCATGTTTTTATTTCTCTTCCATTTATAAATTACATATTGCCTCTTTTGTCAACAACTGCATTCCGTTGCCAGGGCTTTTGCAATGATTGCGTTAGTTTCCAGGGCTCTTGGTGACACTGGGACAAATTGATAACGTAAGCACCATCATTTCATTTGAACCTTTGCACGTAAAAACAGTTCTTCATCTTCCTGCAGGCGTATGGTGCTCCCACTCCCCCTCTTCTCCCTCTAAATTCCAACAGGTGCTCTGATTTCACCTTTATCTTTGTCCTTTTTTTTCATGTGTGCTTTTGTTTGTGCTTATATGCAGGTGTCCTTGAAAAGACGGTGGAGAGGGAGGCTGCTGCTCTCACCAAGGCAAAGACACTTTACAAGTCCTGCATAAACGAGAGTGAGTCAGCAGACATGAGATGTGAATGGACTAATCCATTGTAGATAAACTGTCATGTTTTGTATAGGCATCACTTTGTGCAGCTGTTGAAGGTTGTGCGTTTGCTTCAGTTTGCTGAAGATGATAATGTAATATTGGATACGTCAAACACGGTCATCTTTGTATTTTGTACATAAGCTGCACATAACATAACATTTGTATGCATGATCTAGACATTATAATGATCACACAAAAAACTTGAAAATACTTTTTACTTAATCTGGAACTTGGAAATCTTGCCCCAGAAAATGTTTTTCCAAGTTGTTGTAGTTTATGACCCTATTTGGAGAACTTGAATACACATTTCCTATCCAATAGTATTTCAAGACTGAACAGAAGGGTTCAATATATAAGTTTAAGTAAAAACCAAGAAGAAAAAATGTGTAAACTTTTGTTTGAAATGAAGATGTAGTAAATTACAACATTTTCAAGGGGGTAACAATTTGAACTTCAAAGGAATGAGCTTGAAACTGACTAGTGAATGTTGCTTTTTTTCAGTTTGTGTAAAATTACTGTCTGCAAGCTAATTTCTGTTTCATCAATACTGCACTGTAGGCTTAATAGAGCTGAGAGGAGGGGCTCCTTTGCTCGACATGCTGCCAGACATCTTTGAGTGGCCCATGGCTGTGGACAACTGGGAGGATGACTATGGTATTGCATTTTTTTTAAACCTTTCTTCCTCTTGCTACCATCACGCTATAAATCACTTATTGCATTTCTTCCCTCGCACATCCTCCTTCCTCCGATCTTATTTCTTCAGGGAAAACCTGGAGGTTAGAGGATGTCATTGCCAGGTTAAATGAGAAATATGGAACTCAACTCCTGGTTAACTTTTTCGTTGGTACCGATGACAGAGACTCCACTTCATACATCATTCATGTACGTATAAAGCTTGTGGCTGTAAAAAACCCCTTAAGGCGCATCTCAGTGCATTTGACTTCAGTGTGTTAATTTATTTTACTAATTTTGACATAGTGACGATTGAAGCATTTATTTATTTTTTTGTCACAAAGGTTTAATGTGGAAAACAATGAAATATTTGTCCTCAACCCTTATGTTTGTTTCCATTTTGTGTGCCGATTGATGGCAGTCAGATAGCTGATAAATCAGGCGTATTAAATGATTTATCAATCATTTTATTTAATTCTTGGCAAAGTCTCTCTTGTGAACAAGATATTTAAATCTCAGTTGGACAAACCTGGTAAAATAGTCGTTATTCCAGTCTATGCCAATCCTTGCTTCTTGAGTGCATTTTCCTGATGCAATTAATTCTTCCACTCAACTTTCTATTTATAGTTGGAAGAGGCATTTAGGAATAATTTTCTGTCGTGCATTAATTTTTTGTTTTTTGTAGTCTGAACACAAACTTCTGAGTTTTCACTAGCTAAAATCTACAGTCTTTAAAACAAATTGAAATGAACTCTTATAAAAATCTAAGGGATGGACGTCTCGGTATATGTTTTATCTGTCTACTGAAATACTTTTTGGTTGCATTATGTTCAACTGTACCTCCGTCTCTTTATCCAGGAACTTGAATATTGTCTTTTTTTTCTTTTTCTTTTTCTTTTTTTTTTGTCTTTGCCAGTTTGACCAGCAAACAACCCTTGGCCTCTTGTCCAGAGATTACTATGTCTGCGAGGGTCCCTATGCAGAGGTGTGCTGAAATGTTTTAGTCATGTGTAATTAACTCTCAACCAAAGCAGTTGAAAAAGTTCATTTGTGCTTGTGTTGGTTTATTTTATTGAAAGATTAACATGGAAAGCTGGTGTTCCATAAAGCCTCTGGCTGAAAA